TACGTTGATGCTAAACCTACAATACGACATTAGCCTCTTAAGTGCCCCCCGGGTTCATACAGGTCTCACTCAACCGGTGCGTTAAATGCCCGGACGTATATATACGTCTTTCTGAAGTACGAACTTTTCTGTGTAAGTATTTCCATAAAATTAATCCGAAGGTTTTGTAATGCAATAAAAGGACCTTAAAAATGTTTACGAAGGATTAACTTATATCAGAGGATTTCCTTATTTAGTATTCATTTCCTTTCCCCCCAAAAACACCACATACGCGCGTCTACGAGGAAATCAGAGGCATTGAGGAGTAAATCGCGCAACTTTTAATTAACAGTTAAGGGATTATTAATAAACCTTATTAATTATCAAGATAAATGTTATAAATTTGTATGACAAGCTCACAGGGTTACTGACGATTTTTAAACTGGTTCTTAATTTAGCATTGTTAAACTAATTATAAAATATATTGTGCAGTACTAATACATTTATAAGTGTATTATATCAATGTAGATGTTAATTTTCATTTTTTTATTTTGTGAGAATGTATTTTTTTTTTTTTTTTGTTTACTTTCAGTAAATTAATAATGTTTGAAAAAATTTTTTTCGATATGCTCACATACCCCTAATGGGATGCGCAGTTTGAGAAACGCTGTATACGTATTTTAAATTTATTGCACAAGTAAAACATTAAAATACTCACCATGCCAAAAATATTGAAATGGTTTTACAAGGCGTGGATGACACATATAAGTTGATATTTTATCCTCAAGGAATCTCTAATTAAATCTTGAGAATTCTTTGAAATCCAATGACACTGGAATTCCAAAATTCCGCAGTAATTTGCATAATCATTTTGAATGCTATTGGAATTTTGAATACGACCTACCCACTATAGTTCCCTAATTACCCACTTGATTATTAAAATTTGAACTGACAATTAGTGACACAAAAATAACACATTACATAAGCTCCTAACGCCAAGCTTCCATTTTGTAAAATTATTTCGAAGTGCATAATAACTTTGCATCTTTAATTCAAAGCAAATCATACATCTCTACTCTTAAAAAACGTCTATTTTTGTTTTTAATAATTTTGCTCTAATTTGTGATGAAATGCAAGATTTTTTTTTCTTCAATAAAGTCACAAAAAATAACTAAAAGTACGTAAATCTTTAATAAACTGAAATAATAGAGCCATCCTGCATGTCAGTGATTTTTAAACTTCGATCCCCCCCTTTTATATATCAGCGTGACATCGCGGATCCGGAAAATTTTGAACATCCAAGTTCATAATCTTGATCAAATTACGTGCATCAATAAAGGTTTTTCATTGGGGAAAATTTAGTGATCTAGTCTAGTATGGAAGCGTTTCTCAAACTGTGGGGCACGCCCCTCTTGGGGGTGTTACAACTCTACAAGGGAGGCATGAGCATATTGAAAAGTCGGAAACAAAAGATTATTCCAAAAAATTATTAATTTACTGAAAATAAAAAAAACCCAAAAAACATTCGACATAATAAAAAAAAAAATACACATTTACCTGATATATTACACTTATAAATATATCAGTGCTACCTTTTTTTTATAATTAATTTTAACAATACTAAGTTACAAACAAGTTTATTAATTACCAGTGAAAGGGCTTGTCATATATATAATTTAAAACAAAATTTCCCTTTCTTGATAATTTTTGTACGGTTTTAACTAACCTTGACTGCCGATAAAAATTTTTCCGTTTCCCTCCCAATGCCAACCATTTTCCACGTAGGAGCGTATGTTATATATTAGGGAGGGGGAAAAAAAAAACAAAAAAATCTGGATAAAAATTTTTCTAAAATATTGTCAATGTCATTTTTGCTTCAAAATCTTTGGTTTTTACGGATGCATTTACAGAAAAATCCTACTTCAAAATACGTATAAAACGTCGGGGAAATAAACCTTTGCAGTGAGGTTTATATACACGAGGAGGGGTGCTTAAGAGGTTAAAATCGTATCGTAGTTTTAGCGTCAAAGAAAAGTATTATTGAATTCTGTACATTGTTATTGTATGAGGGGGGGAAAATTCTGATTGAAGATTGGGTCGGGAATATTGCAACTTTGAGAAGCACTGTAGTACGGCATATCTTTTAATTTTTCCATGAGGTCTTTCAGATTCTGTGAAACAGGGAAATTTCCAAATTACATGTTAGACCATAGTTTAACAGCAGAGTAATCCCAACGTCTTTTTTAAAACTCAAGTCAATATGTGATGGCTCTTAAATAGATAAGAAAGTCTTAATACAGATAATTCGTACGGAATACTTTAGAAAATGGTCATCATTATCATAACACATAGCACGATTTCTAACGATGTGAATCTATTTTCATGATATTAAGAAAAACCAAATGTTCTCACTCCAGTTTCTTATTAAAATTATATTATTATTTGTTTCCAATAAAAATTGCTTCGCACACCGTGAATATAACATTTCAAATACTAGGGCAGAGTTAGCGAACCCTTATGGATCAACTTTTTCTAAAGAAACCTTTAATAAAGAAATGTTTAGTAAGGTATTGACGTATCATCATATAATTTTGAAATGTAATTTTTAGGAGAATAATAAAACACTAAATACTAACAACTTAAAACTCTTTATTTATTTCGAAAAAAATAAATTTGTACTGTATAGTAGTAAATGTTTTAGTCATACGTGTAATTCAAATTAAAGTAACATTAGTGCTAACATTAGTAACAGCATTCTGCTGTTGTAGATTAGATGAAAAATAACTTATAATTTTTTTAGAATTGTGAGAGTAAAAAATGCATACTGAATTGGATCATCTGTCAAACGGTTTCTGAGCTAGTCTTTAATGCTATACATCTCTAAAAATAATGACTCGCAGACATGAAAATATAGTCAAATAGCATAACCCAGCTTTTTCAAACAGTTAAATGAGTCTGAAATCGAATTCCATGTTTCCAAAATTTCATATTAGCATTTTTAATTTATTGCTTATTAATCTTTCTGTTTCAATCAATCCAATTTTCTCCTTCTTCTACAAATTTTTGAATTCCTTTTGAACTAGACAGGAAATCAGAGTTCCATTTCAAATTTTTCAGTTCTCAATCAATCGAATTGGGACAAGTTCATTTTATTAAACGAAATCACATCAAGGTACATAAAAAAGTGAGTGTTTCCGTAAATTATTGAACTGAGAAAATCTAGCCGAAAACCGTGACCGATCACTCGCGTTTGTTCATAATACTTCATATTGAACTTTGTTATTTTGAATTAAAATTCAAACCGTTTTGATCGGTGGCGTGCCCAAAATATTGTGCCCCGTGCTATTGGTTCACCATCCCTGTTCTGGGGCTTCAAATTCCGAGAAATAAAATACTTTATGATTCAAACTGTTGACATAATATTTCGTTTAATTTTCTTGTTATTATACACATCATGTTGCCAATTACGCTCTATAATATATTTTTTAAAAATATAGCCACTAAAAACCTCATTTAACTTTTACCATTCTTACCTTAATCGTGGTATCCGAATTCATGCCAGTGACAAAATAACTTTTATAAACATTTTCTTTTTGACATTGATAAAAAAATCCCATTTCATCTTTTCAAACGAAAAAAAAAATTGACAAAAATACTGTATAAGGTATTTTGTAGGTTGAACGTAGATTCTAGTCAATAGCTTTATGATTAATATATTCAGAGCTTAGGCAAGAAATTGTAAGGAAATTAATTTAAAGTTTTAATATTTTCTTTATACATCAAAATCATTTACTACTCGTATTATGAGAACAATAACAAAATTTCCCTTTATTTAAAGTGCACAAAGAGTACTAAGTATAAAAAAGACTATAAAATGCGATTTGTTAATTATTATACTAAAAATAAACTTATTTCAGAAATGACTTTTTTTCTTCTATTACAATTAACGCCCACTATTATGTGAGGGCAGCAATACTTCCCACGCATGCTCTAGTATAAGTCACTCTCTTTTTCAGTCTCTATAATGTGTATAATCTAATCTATCCTCTCCTCTCAGATTTCTACTTAGAAAACTTCTAAAAGACATTAGAAAATGCAGTTCTTTTCAGTTTCAATTTGAGTTAACTTCAGAGAAAGTACGTATTGATTTATTGGAAGCTGTATAATGTACATAATAAAGTAAATCATGAAATGGCGAAATAAATATTTAAAAAAAAACAGGCATGAAAACTTTCTAACGAGTTCTATTCATGTAATTCTTACTAATCCTCTAAGGATATCTTTATAACATTATATGATTATAAAACCATTTTCAGTAAGGGAACCTCGATTTATGTTAATTAGAATTGCTATTTAAAGTCAAGTGAAGAGGGAAATTAGAGAGAGGTTGTTAATTGCTTTCATATGGAGATGGATGAGTTTTAGTTGATATTAACATGGTTAAAGACAAATGATTCTACAAGTCATTTTAGGTTGCTTAGTATTGCTGAGGATATACTATCCACGATAATTATTGGATTTGTTATTATAGAAAATTAAAATGTTTACTAACCTGACGGCTTTCCTAGTTTAGCTCGAATTTAGACAGTGATTTGATAGTCATAATAAAAGTGTTTTTTTCACAAAAATGTCTCATACTTTGGTACATAATCACACTTCCGAGGTTGAGAGTTCTCGAAAACTTTCCATATTTTTTATTAAGTCATCAAATATATAATTGTAAGTGTTTGTTTATTTGAATAAAACATAAAATAAACTCAAATTTAACTTGAAATAAAAGCAAGTAATGTATTAAAAAAACTTATAAGTCAATACCTACTTAGGTCAAAAAAGGAACATTTCATTTCAGTTCCTTTTTATTAAATAAATAAAATTAATATAAATATGTATATACATATGACAGAATCAAAATATTAAGTAGCAAAATAGAAAAAGATTTTCGTTTCTATAAAGGGTATTGGACTATTATTTTTGTTTGTTACTATTTATTCATTCATAAATCATACTCTCAGAAGTTAGACCATTTCAGGTAGTAATTGAACCCACGACCATTGGATTAGGAATCCAACGCGCTATCCATTGCGCTAATGGGACACAACGAGCGATTTTCCTTTATATATATTTTGTAGGACTGTTATTTCTTTTTTTACTATTAATTAATATTTGAAAAAAGGTATTAACTTAAAGTGTCATCCACTGCAAGTTTAAAAAAATGTATTTGAACTTGAGTGTGTGAAAGTGCCCCCTAGGGTGCCCTTCTATTAGATTATCTGCGTGAACTAAAGGTGTGGGGTCAACTACAGAATGAGAAGTTTCCATGATCTGAATATGACTTTATTAAGACCTTAAACTTAAACCTCTAACAGATTAGATAATAAATATATATGAGAGAATCTACGATGAACAAACACACAATACAAGTAATATCGAAAGAAATAACTCGGACCACTATCAATATCTAATCCGCCTAATCTCAATTCCAATAACAACGAAAGTCCTAATATTAAATAGTCAATCCTACCTTAATTTAATCTTTGATCCGATACTAAGGAAGTTGCGTCTTTACTCGAGTGCAATGGTAGGCACCTTAACTTTATGGCTCTATCCTCGAGAAAACCTCTTTTGGCTATCATTTCAGGATTGTATCAATCTCTAACATAACATTCCCCAAATTGCCACCCTGCTTACTTAAACTTCTAATATTGAAAAGCTATCTAATTTGCATTTTTCCTTCACGTTTCACTTCTTGGGTTTTGGTTGGAAAACAGTTTCCATTAATCTTGGCCCCAAAAGAACCCCAAAGGACATGTTAATGAAAAGACGCCTTGAGCCCATCACAAGTGGATGAATAAAAAGTATTTTATTAAGAATTAAAAATTTGAACAATATATATACATAATAAACATATGTAGGGATAGTGTTAACTAATAGATGAAATTGAAATAAAATTCATTTTCAACTATTACCAGAAAGTGTTTATTCCATAAAAGAAATTCCCTGATTTTGGTTCTAAACTAAAGAGTTAATATTAGTGACGTAGAAGAGTTTATTTATATATAAAAAAGTTTTAGTAGAGAAAAAGCAATAACACAAACTCTATCGGCCTGCCGTCGGTCCCATCCCAAGCATTGAAGAGACCTCCATCGAGAGTAAGCGTTAGAGAGCAAAGTGGTTAAACGTCTTAACTCCTCCAGTTGCACTCTAACATATCTCGAAAGAAAGATAGAAAGAAAAGGGGAAAAAAATCTAGCATTCCGTTTATATCCCGGTACCTCTTTTTGTTTCCCTACAAATTTAGTGTTTTGTGTATTTGTTTACTTCCTATTTAAAAGGTTTCTCCTCGTCCATCTCAACCTATCGATTGAGTTTATCGCCGGAGGCTGAAACACCCAAGGGAATTTCTAAAGAAAATGGAAGGAGGTGGAAAAAAATGTTTACCCAGGTTTTTTTTTTTTTCATTCTTGATCTTTTAAAGTCTCGAGGATGGTAAAAAGGAAAAAAAAAGTAGCACGCTTGCACCTTTGTTAATACTATCTATTTATTTTATCTTTTCCCGTCAAGTAGAAGTCTCAATTGCGTTCTTGGTAAATCGGATAGTTGCCAAATAGTGGTGTGAGTCGTATTTGTCAAGATTATGAAGTTTCGGTCTTCTGATTAGTGATGGTTGAGAGTATATTGGTTAATTTAGAACAGGAAAACTAACACAACAGCTTAAAAATGCATAAAAGAATCTTAATGATTTAACTACGATACATTTCATATGGATCAATGTTTTGCTTTACAGGTATTATAGATCTGGCCTTTGGGTGTGTACTAGATATTTAGTGAGATATTCCATATTGTTTGAATGAAAAAGTGACCATAATAGAACTTAAACACACATATTTATTCACATATATATTCAAAACTACATTTGAGTTTGCTAATACCGCAAAAATTCAGCTGTGAGATCAGCTACACAAGTCCATTGTAAAAATGAGAGCATACAGGTTTTCTGGTAGAAGGGAAGCTATGAAAGCGCACTTGTAACTCGCTCTCAAACATCGTTATTTTTTCACCACAAAGTTCCAGGGCGCTTATAGCGCTGTGATGGCCGCACGTTGTTGTTGTTATGCGTGTTGTAATACCTTGCATTCCATGTAGGAAATAATTCCACGCAGAAGTTCGGAGCATTTTTGGTTCTTTATACAACATAAGGAAAACAAAATACTATTTACATTATTATTTAAAATAAAAAGGGAATCTTTGATACCCATGTTTTTCTTTTCTTCTCCAAGTCTACTCATTCTTTTACCTTGCCAAGGGAAGGAGGTTAATCTCTTTTCCAAAATCCTTTGTTTCACTTGTAACCAACATCGGAAGAAGGAAATATACCGCTTTCAGAGAGGAAAACTCTTTGTCATCAAGAAGAGCGTAGTTCTTTTAGAAGTATAAGGTATCTTAAACTGACAACAAAAACATTTCTGGACTGTGGCACAGTTGAATACTAGAAGCACTTGTATGGCTTCATCAAACTAACGATCTCACGGTAAAGTGAACCTATATTGTTGTAAATAATATGCATGCACTCACACAGAAATGCAAGGACCACGCAATGTTTTGATTTCAATTTAAAACACGTTGTTAGTGAGGAAAAAAGTAACTCTTATCTCCTTCTCCATATCAACTAGTGCTAAAAAGAGTTTTTGTGAGATTTAACAACACCAGTAAAAACGGCAGCCAATAGTGAAGAGATGATAATTGCCATTTGTTTTATCATCTCCTACTCAGCGTGCCACCAATGGATCACAATTTTAGAAAGCTTTCACCAAGGATGACACAGGTACGCACCCCAACTTTATAAAAGCATCTGGTACTGTTGATCCACATTGCTGCATTCCCTTTAAGCAAAAATTTATCTGAGTTACGGTTTCTTCTCTTTCTTTTCGCTTTATATTTGTCATCAGTCGCTGAAACATCACTGAGAAAATGCTTTCTAGCACGGCATTGGGTATTCGACCCGTTCGAGAGCCAAGTGATTTTTAAAAAACACATAAATGGTGTTGTCATTTTAGTGTCGCTTAGATTAGAATACATGTATGAGTTGAGAGGACAGGCGAAATTGTTTAATGCATAGACAAAAATTAACTAGGAATAAACTTAAAAATGTTCTTTTTACAGCCAAAAAAGTACTATTATAATAATATTATTTTATGTATATAGCTCAGACCTGCCTCTCTACAGAGAGTTAGCTTCAGTATTTTGAAAAATTCACATTATTTTTCAAGAGTTCCTGAGATTTGAAATAATTATTGCCGTTTTAGCTTCAAGGAATTGCTCCCTTCTGTTGATAAATGCAAAATATGGATAAGCCCACTTCTAAGAAGTTCTATATTTCAAAATTCTAGGTGCCCGAGCCCCTCTGTACAAAGGTCACAGGCTATATACCCAGGTACTTCCATAACTCAGCATTTTCTAAAAGGAATATTATTTGGAAAAAAATTATTCAGATTGAATTTGCTGCCGAAAATGACATATTATTTCAGAAAGCTATTTCTTTTGATAAAATGTCCTTTTAACACACATGCATGTACCATACTGCAAAAAATGACACCAAGCCAGCATGAGATTGCCCCATGCCCTTTAAAAGCAAAGGTTCCGAAACATCGGTGGCGAAATCCGCGAGACACTGTAACTAATCCTCTTGGAATAAAATTTATTTGTGCAAATGTTATTGTTCTATTGAAAACTTTCTTCCGAAGAAGACTCGATTTATTCAAATGAATGGTTCTCGTTAAGTATTGACTTTTAGATGTACGAACTTAGTTGAAGTGGTTGGAATTCCGTCGAGAAGTTGAGACAACCAGTAATTTCTACCAAGTTGATCAAAATATTCCTCATTGATGATTGAAGTAATGCAAGATTGAGAGATTGACTTGTTTAACTGTCATGCCCGATATAATCTCAGGGAACAGCACGGTGTTTAAAAATATGCTTGCCGAGTATATTACTCAGGGAAATTTTGAGTGCATCGTATTATTGTTTTACCCGGAGCTATATATCCGGGGAGCGTTTTATTTCGGCTTCATCTCTTTGTCAAACCCGGCTTGATTCTCTGGAAAAGTTAATGGTAGGCAGCTCAATTCAATAGATGACAGTACTTTTACTAGGGCACAAAGGGATTTTGGGTCAGTTCTTTTGGTTCAAAATTTTGACGCATTTACATTGTACCCAAATCATCAAAATAATAACTTGACGGTTAAAGGTTAATAACTGGTCATTGCGGTTAATAGCTTTCACAAGGAGAATTACGATTTGAGATTATACCGTAGAAAGAGTCCAAAAGTGTTCTAAAGATTAAAGTGAATTTAAATCATGCTCCAAATATTAAACATCTCTTTGCCGTAATGATTGCTCTTATGCTTGCTGCAATGAGTATTGAATTGCATTTTACTACCCTGAATTGTTTTGGTTTACGTTAGAGGAATAATAAATTGGAATTTGAAGTGATTATGGCTGATCTTTACTCGAACCCTCAAACACCAATAATCTCAACTAGATTATTACACTGCCATCTAGCGGACGTAAGATGATAGGATATGTAGAGTCGAGAAACAATAAGAAAATAATTTTTAAAAACAAATCTTAAAACAAAACTGTAATATTGAACTCAGTAATAAGTTCAATATTATGTATAAAAAAAAACTAAAAGAAAACTCATGATTTTAAAAACAATTACTACATTGATTTGATGTTACAAATTATTCCAATTTACTTTGACTAATATTGTTACAAAAGAAATAATTAATAATCATAGTTCTACAGATAGAAATAGGAATGAAAGTATTCCATGCAGAAATACTCTGATTATATCAAAATTAAAAAGATCTGTTTTATCGAACTTTTACTATTTATTTTCTTATTTGCAATTCTCTAAATTACATCAAGGTAATCAATAGTAAGTAGTCACCACTTGTTTAATAAGATTCAGATAGATGGGATAGAAAGCAAAATTACGAGTCCATTCACTATTTTTACGAAACACAATTAAATCATCAAAGCATCTTAAAGATAAAAATCATTGTTAATAGCCTGATGATTTTTTTTTAA